ATGGATTGTGATAAGAGTTGTATGAGCCCCCAATAAAATGATTAAAAAAGTATAATCCATCCTGAACATATTTTTGAAACTAATGGTAGTCAGCACCCACCCAACTTCAAAATGTAATACAACTGGCAATGCTATTCATTGTACCAGCTACTTTGAACAGTTTTAACGGCAGCTCTTTCATTAAGCAAGATACACACACAGCATGCCTTTGATGCTTTCCTCCTGGAGACTGGTTTTCAGAAACACACATCCTTCCACAGCAACCTGACATTCTCTAGCATCCTCTCATACTCCTGAATTGTTTTCCATGCTCAAGGTTTATTCTTAAGTAAGAGCATGGGAGAAGTGCTGCATTTTTCCTGCTGTGGCTTGAAAACATAATGGGTGTACATATAGTACGTGTAGTCTTACAAATGTCCAGTCATGCATACCAGCTGGAATACCTTGATGTAATGTGTGAGCATTATGATTCTTAAGACATGAGTAGAAAGTTACTGACTTAAGACAAGTTTGAAATCCACTAAAATTAATTGTTGTAAGTTTGTCCTTCTGGTGGCTGTGATTTTCTTTGGACATCATCAGTCATCTTCGTTCTTAGAATGCAACTTTAAGGCTGTAGGAATTTTGCCATTTCACTAATACTGGTATTCTGTGTGCAGCCACGTCAGCATGGATGATCCTTGTAAACATTGGTAAGTGAAAGATGACAGTCACAAAAGAACACACGGTATATGATTCCATGTACAGGAAATGTCCACAACAGGTGAATCATCTCACAGGAATTATTTATTCCATTCATATTAATTTTTGTTACAAATCTAACTCATGGAGGTGCATCTGGATATTTGGGTCATAGCTTTGACCAACTCGTTTTTGTCCTTCTCCAATTTCTTCCAATAAGCTAAAATGATAATGAACTTTAACTCCTGTGGAGACCGCCGCCTTCTCCTGCAGCCTGACCTAGCCTACCTTGTTGAGGAGGGGTAGAAAATCAGCCTCTACACTCAAGGGTATTTAAGAAAACAAAGCCAAAAACTACCGCCAATGTCTCTTGAGATTCTCTCTCCATATTCTCAATTTAAAGCAGTGGAAGGTATTAAATTTTTTTTAATTCTTATCCTTGATTGAGCTGAGTCGGACTGCACACTCTCATCCCTCCAGTCATTACTTCCAGATGAACCCCTTGGAGAGATTTCTGACAAACCTGGAGAGAGGGAAAATGATGCATTTGCCTTGCTACCCATTGGCTTAACATTTTCTGATTGACGGTAGCTTCTTGTATTTCAGAGTGCATCTGTATTTGAGTGAGCAGACAATGCCTTAATCTAAAGGAAGCAAACTGACGATGGAGTTTGCCCTCTTGAGCTGCCCTATGACGTTTTCTACTCCCCTCTTATTCTTCATCCTTTCTTCTGTTTGCTTTTAGCTACTCTCCATTGAAGACCACTCAGTCTCTTCTTTTGTTGTTGTTGTTGTTATTTATTTATTTATTTTCAATTTTTTAATCATTTTATTAGGGGCTCATACAACTCTTATCACGATCCATACATACATCAATTGTGTAAAGCACATCTGTACTTCCATTGCCTTCATCATTCTCTCCACTTAAGGCCCTGGCATCAGCTCCTCATTTTCCCCCCTCTCTCCCCACTACCCACTCCCTCATGAACCCTTGATACTTTATAAATTATTATTTTGTCATATCTTGCCCTGTCCGACGTCTTCCTTCACCCATTTTTCTGTTGTCCGTCCCCCAGGGAGGAGGTCACATGTGGATCCTTGTAATAGGTTCCCCCTTTCTAACCCCTTCTACCTCTACACTCCCAGTATCACCACTCACACCACTGGCCCTGAAGGGATCATCCGCCCTGGATTCCCTGTGTTTCCAGTTCCTATCTATACCAGTGTACATCCAGCTTTATTTTCTGCATTCAAATTGATTTTTTCCATATGACTTGTTTCATTGCTTGGATTTTCTTTCACTATAGAGGAATCATGTAAACATTCATCTTATATTATTTTGAAAATATTTACAATTTACTTCTTATTAAAAATTTAGTTCTTTTGTAATTTATTCTTACATATCAACTAGGAAAGCTTCATATTATCACCATGGTGATAGAATAACACATATTAAGGTTATTCTGCAACATGTTTTACTACTTCACTGTAGGAGAAAGATCTTAATTAAGAATATCAACTTTTAATTCAATGTATTATTTGTTTAGTTTTCATTAAATTGTATGGTACTCAAATTATGTGTGTACCATACAATAATTTGATGTAATCACTTTATTTATAAAATTGTCACTTTATCCATATGTAATCATTTTATTTATAAAATTGTCATGCCTATCAAGGTAAAATTTAAGGGTAATAAGTGGTTCAGACCAGGCTGTGAGGATGATGTTCCCAATTAGAGCAGCCAGTCCACAGAGAGGACCACATGGCCGGCCCCACTATGAGACATGATGCCCCTCACTGACCCATAGCCCTACAGGGGACAACATGAGAGACACAGTGTGGTAATTGCACCCGATCTCATCCTGCCACA